TCGGGTTTTGCAATTACTTGCATTTATATAAAATATTATTGAAAAGGAGCCATTAATCAAGGCAATTTACGATGTGCGTAACATTGCTGTTTGCAAAATGAATTGAGGATATAAAATAACTGTATGATAAATTTCTAATAAAATATTGCAGTTTTGTATAATTAAAGGCTGACTGACAAATCATTCTTATATTTAGTTAAATTATCTCTCCTCGAATCCCTAAATATTTGTCCATGAATTATCAATTTTGCCGCCATCAACACCGCTGCAAATGGTAAGTAGGGGAATATCAAAAATGCATATTGAAATTCGACGAGAATTCTCTACTATTGCTGTTATTCAATATGCCTGTCATTATATCGGCCTAAATTGATTGATCCAAATCGTAAAAAGTCTAATGGCTTTCTTAAGAATGATTTTCAGACGTAAAAACCTATCAAATAACGAGGTGATGAATAACATAAAGTTGGGCTTCCGAAGAATATCCAATTGAATCAAACAAATATCTGACAAGATTTTACTCGTAAATACGAAATGGGTAAAAATTTTTCGAACAGAAGTCCAATAACAAGCTGCATTTAAATAAGTAAAATTGTCCTTGTCTATGCAAACGATGTTTTGTAGCGTACTTTAAAAATCTATTGAAATTACTATGGTAGCAGGCAAACTCGGTAATAGGATAAATTTTAAATTTCACGACCCAAATTATAAAGGTCGTTTTTTTATAAAAGCGTATATTTATTCACATTATCATCGAAATATTTTATTTGCTGGCACCATAAATCAAAAATAAAAAAATAAGTTATGTGCTTTTTGCCATAAATAGATGTTTAGAAATTAATGGTGTTCTCTGAAAACTCGGTGAGAAGTATTCAAGGACAAGAAAATTTTTGTGAACCTTCATTGCATGAGATTTTTTGCTTTAAAAGGCTTGATTTATTTCTAAATCACAGATTGTATAAAGAATCCCTCAAAATCATCCTCGTGTATTTGCTTCGCTTCTACTGAAAATGATATTGATATTAAGGAATGAGCGGTGTATTCAATAATTATTGTATAACCTCCTATCCACTATTTTGTATGTCTCATTAATCATATAAATACGTTTAGAAAGTTGAAATATTTAAGGGATCATATGAATCCCCTTAAAAGTTATGCTGTCTATTACGACCAAAACGAATTAAACGTGTAATAAAAATTGATTACTTTAATTTTCATGAATTCACAAATTAATATTAAATTTAAAGTTAGCACACAAATCTGATAAGTTTAAAAAATGATAAGTCCAACAGCTCTAACAAGTGAATTCATACGTCAACCTGCCATTGACTGCCAGTTAAGAGTTCTAAAATATTAGTGCACCTGCCTTCCCGAAAATTTGAATGACTATTCAATTTAGCCTTATGATTGGATTGTTCGGGTTAAGTCAGCAAGTCCGTGGATCTCACTTATGTCCTACAATGTGTCCCATTTCTGAGCTGGCTTCTGTTAAATTAATGATTATGAATCTTGACAAATTGTTTTCCAAATAATCTTATATAATTCTGATGGGTAAAGCTGAAGATATCTCCCGGATCATGTATTCTCTGCATTATTGAGCCAATCATAAGCACATGCTTGTTGTTGTAAATGCTTGCATTACACCAGAGAGCACAGATACAAATTAATTGGTAATTGTGATATATTTAAAACTGAGGCAGATGTTATATCATACAAACGACTCAATGATTGCCATTCTATTCGTATTTACCCTTCTGCAGTTATTTACTATTCCAGGAAGAGAGGGATTAGATTTGCCTCATTCGAATTGTTCGAGAATCGTGTCAATACCGTCTGGGAAATCAGAGCTCCTAATATTTGCTAATGGGGGAACTGGCGTAAGAATATATTTACTGCAACAAGAGCTTTGCTTATCTTTATTATCAGGTTTTTTACGGCTCGTTTGGACGGAGCAGTTAGCCTATTGACAGTAAAGATAACAAATGCTATGCAGATGGCAAGGTGATTGGTGATCCGTGTACTTGGCATTCTGGCAATGGTTTACCATTAAAATCTAATACTAAAATGCCCACAGTACGTATAGGTTACTATAATATAACAGCTATTGACGTGAGAAAAATTAAAGAAATTCTTTACATTGGATACGGCGTCTCTTGTATTGCCTTATTTGTCCCTGGATGTCAGCTTAAATCTGTTCAAACTGGTTAGATATACTAAATTTTAAAGGGGGCAGTTACTGAATGCTACGATATTTTAATTTACTTTAAAATTGTGAGCATTAGTGACAGTGTTTGTTTTTGTTTTTAATAGGAAATATTATACCACGAATGACGTTTCCGTTTGTCAGGTTTGAGGAAGGAAAGAATTCTGTTAAAATCGACTTTTCCATTAAAGGGAGGACGCAAGACTTCTTTGTGCGTTCATTTTTCCTTTAATGAAAATAATATCTTTGTAACTTTAACTACATTTTTCCACAATGATGAATAAGAAATTAGTAATTACTACTTGCATGTAAATACATCGGAACATGCCACATCA